AACGAACCAGGGTCCGAGAAACGAGAACACGACCCAGGGGCCGAGAAAACGAGAACACGACCCGAGGTCCGAGAAAACGGTGACACGACCCAGGGACCGAGAAAACCAGAAACCGAGACCACAACCAAGCGGCAGAGAAACCGAGGCCACGACTTAGAGGCCGAGAGAGCAAGAAAGCGAGAACACGAACCAAGGTCAGAGAACACGAAACCGAGACGCAGGAGCCAGAGAAAACGAGAGACCGAACAAAACATCCAGAGCAAGAGAAAACGAAACCACGACCCAAGTAAAACGAGAAAACGAGAAAACAATCCAGGGTCCAAGAAAACAAGGCCACGACCCAGGGGCCAAGAACACGAGAAAACGAACCAGGGTCTGAGAAACCGACCGTCACCACGACACAAGGGCCGAGACAACAAGACAAGGAGAGAACGAGCCAGAGCCAAAGAAAGCGAGGAAACGACCGAGAAGCCACATGAGAAGACGAGACAACGAACCAAGGAGCGATAAACCGAGACCACACGAACCAGGGCCCGAGCAACCGGGACCACGACCCGAGAGCCACAAACACGAGAAAACGAACCGGGGCCCGAGAAACCGGGACCACGACCAGAGAGCCGAGAACACGAGAACACGAGAAAACAAACCAGGGACCGAGAAACCGAGACCATTACCCAGGGGCCGAGAGAACGAGAACACGACAAAACGGACCAGGGCCCAAGAAACCGAAACCACGACCCAAGGACGGAGAACACGAACAAATTAGGAAAAATAACCAGGGTCAGAAAACAAAACAACACCACGACCCAGGGGACGAGATAACGAGAGAACGAAGCAACGAACCGAAGTCTGAGAAAACAAAGCCACGACCCAAGGGCCGAGAAACCGAGAAAACGAACCAGGGTCCGAGAAACCGACCGTCACCACGACACAAGGGCCGAGAACACGAACCAATGTCAGAGAAACCGAAACCACAACCCAAAGGCCGAGACAACGAGAAACCTAGACCACGACCCAGGGGCTCAGAAACCGAGACCACGACCCAGGGGCCGAGAAAACACGAAAACACACCAAAGTCAGAGAACACGAGATTACGATCCAGGAACCGAGAAAACGAGAACACGAGCAAGAGCCCGAGAAAACGAGACCACGACCCACGTGCAGAGAAAACGGGACCACGACGCAGGGGCAGAGAAAACGAGAACACGAACGAACCAAAATCCGAGAAAACGCAACCACGACCCAAAAGCAGAGAACACGGGAAAACGAGACAACGACCCAGAGCCGGAGAAAACGAGATCACGACCCAGCGGATGAGAAGACAAGACAACCATGAAACAACCAAGGTCAGAGAAAACGAAACCACGACCCAGGAGCAGAGAAACTGACAAACCGATAAACGACACATGGGCAGAGACCGCGAGATCACGACCCAGGGGCAGCGAAAACGAGAAACTGAGAAAACCAATCGAGATCTGAAAAATCAGTACACGACCCCAGGGCCGAGGAACCAAGAAAACTAACCAAATCCAGAGAAACCATCCCCACGACCCAGAAGCAGAGACAACGGGAAAACGAGAACACGAGGAAAACGAACCAAGGTCCGAGAAGACGAGACCACGACCAAGGGGCAGAGAAACCGAGAAACCGAGAGAACGAACCAAGGTCAGAAAACACGGTGCCACGACCCAGGGGCCGAGAGAACGAGACAACAAACCAGGGTCCGAGAAAACGACACCACGACCAATTGGCAGAGAAAACACACCACGATCCGCGGATCCAGGATCCGAGAAACCGCGGCCACGACAAGGGGGCGACAAACGAGACAACGAGACAACGCACCAGGGTGTGAGAGAACGGTGCCACGACCCAGAGGCCGAGAAAACGAGAAAACGAGAAAGCGATCCAGGGCCCGAGAAAACGAACACACGACCCAGGGGCAGAGAAAACGAGAAAACGAAACAGGGCCCGAGAAAACTGAGATGTCCAAATATAGTTCTGGTGAGTTCTGCTAAATAGTGCTCAGATGAACTAGTTTGTACTTCTCTTAACTTAGATGATGTAAACTGAACTAAGACGGCCAAACTTTAACTTATATTAGCGAGGAATAACTTCACAACTTCGCACAACTAAGGAACTGAAGTTAAGTGAAATTGGGGCATCTAATGTAAGTCTGTGAACTTTGTTGAAGTTAACGGGGAAGTTACCTGGGAAGTTGGTGGCAGTTGGGGGCGCTCCCTTTCCCAACCATCCTGTGGTGTTGGGGAGGGCTCAGTATTAGCGCTTGCGCTTGATGCGTGCACATACTGCTATCGATACACAAATATACACACATGTGTGTATCTTTGTGTGAATGTATGTATGCATGCATGTATTTGTGCATTTACGTATGTAGATGAATAGACGCGGAATCGCCGAAAACTCGGATTGCCCTGCACGCCGCTCCCTCGGCCAGACGGGAATTCTATGAGAGCAGGAGTCCTGTCAACACAACTGTCCGTTCGGGGAACCAACGACCCCGAACACAATCCCAACATCGCATGCGCCCCCACTGGAGCCCGCACAACCTCAGGACAAGGCCTCTGGGAGCCCAGGGTTGCGAGCTTCTCTCCAACGCAACGGGTCACACAACCTCGCCCGCGGCAGCTCGGATCCCGCAATTGCGAGGACGTCTCAGGCGGAACGGCTTGGACCACGTCGCAAAAAAGCAGCTCGGTGAACTAATCTGGAGGACATCTCCAACGAACCCCCCCTTCCAAAGGGAGGGGGGGGGTTCGCTTGCGGCGAAGCCACCCCCCCTTGCAAAGGGAGGCCCAGGCGAACCTTCCGTTCCGACCGAAAAGGGGGGGGTAGCTTGCAAGCCCCCTCCCCGTTACAATGCACCCCCCCCCCCCCTGGCGCACTGGAGGGAGGGGGGGGTAGCTTCGGAAGCCCCCCCACATGGCAAGAGAAGCTCGGGCTTACCTCAGGCCCCGAAAAGAAGGGAGGGGGGGGTAGCTTCTGAGCCCCCTCCCTTTTGCCCAAAGGGGGGGAAGGGGGTAGCTACGGACGCCCACCCCCCCTTGGTAAAGGAGAGCCCGGGCCAACCCCGAATCCCCCAAAGGGGGGATGGGGTGAGGTAGCTTCGACGCCCCCCCCTATTCAGCTAGGGCCCCCCCCCCCAGCTTAACAACGCAGACTGAGGGAAGGGGGGGGCTTCGGAAGCCCCCCCCCTGTCTGAAGGAAGGGGGGGTAGCTTTCAGCTGGTGCCCCTCTTTTCTTGTTCCTGGCCCTGCGGATGCGCTCGGTGCGCTCTTTCAGACATCTGCCCGGGCAACCTGGACGCGTGAAAATAAGCGTTTTGCTCCAGACATCCTCAACACATCCTCATGCTAAACATCCGTTTGGGCGTCCAGGGCACGTGACAACAAGCGTTTCGCTCAACGCATCCCAACACATCCTCATGCTAGGCATTCGCCTGGGCGACCTGGATACATTAACACACGCAGGCCGCTCGAGACATCATCAACACAGCTTCATGTTAGACATCCACCTGGGCGACCTGGGCAAGTGAAAACAAGCGTTTCGCTCGAGACGTTCTCAACACCTCCTCATGCTAGACATCCGACTGGGCGACCTGGACACGTGAAAACAAGCGCCTCGCTCGAGAAATCCTCAACACATCTTCATGTTTGACATCCACCTGGGCGACCTGGGAACGTGAAAACAAGCGTCTCGCTCGAGACGTTCTCAACATCCTCATGCTAGACATCCGCCTGGGCGACCTGGACACGTGAAAACAACCGACTCTCTCGAGACATCCTCAACACATCCTCATGCTAAACATCTGTGACCTGGACGCGTGAAAACAAGCATCTCAATCGAGACATTCTCAACACATCCTCATGCTATATATCTGCCTGGGCAACCTGGACGCATGACACCACGCATCTCGCTCAAGACACCCTCAAGACCTGAGCACGTGAACACACGCATTTCACCTGAGACAATCTCTGAATTATGGTCCACAAGAGAGGAACAACCTATAACACAAAACAAACGTTTTGCTCGAGACATCCTCCACAACTTCTGCGTTACAATAATTTTGCTCGAGACATCCGCAACAAACGGAAACGTGAATTGTTGTTCAACATTTGTTTTATCGATCGGAATTTCAACAACAAGCGTTTCCCTCGGGACATCCTCAACCATTCTATTCGCTGGCCTCACGCGACCTCGTTATTCATCGCAGGATTGATTCGCTGACCCTACGCAAATCGCGGCTGGGGGGTTCACCAACTGAAAGAGAACCCTGGGCCCGAGCCCCTCCCCGGCAAAACAACAACATCTGGAGGTCTGGATTTGCACGCGATAATGTGCATTGTTTCCTATCGCGCCCTTCGAAGTCTCTCAAGATTACATCGGCACGCCGACAAGACAACAAGCATGACCATGTCCTCACCAATCTTTGTGAAAACGTCGAGATTTTTCCGCCACTCTGGAATACCACACTTACGCCACAAGCTGCAGGCCAAACGGGTGAGAAACCAAGAGGCGCCCAACACACTACTGATCCACGACCCAGGCACGGTGGCGGGGTACACTGATAGAACTTCGGTAGGGGCGTGATCCGTCGAACAACGACAGTAGGGGCCCGACCACAAGAAACCGTCCACAAGAAATCCAACCCTGGGACCCCAGGACGTCCACTGATTTTTGGTGTGGGAACGTCACGCTGTCCATCTCAATTCCATCGAAACCCAAGAAACCTAGGGCACCCTGGAGGCAAGCAAGGTGTTTCTTGGCATGGACATCCACTGTACCCTGTCACGGCTTCTCAGCGAGGCATGGTTCACGCGACTGCTTTGGGAAACAATCGCTACCAACCACCTTCTCATCCCCCGAGAGCACGCAGGCGAGTGACAACGATCACGCATCATGGCCCCACATATTGAGCGAAGCGATTGCATGGTCAAACGCAACTGACATGCAAAGGAACATAGCCAAGTGAGAATCCTCTCCTGCTTGTGAATTATCCAGATCCACATCAGGACGAACTCGATGATGCGCACGCAATAATAGGAGTCCTGCTCGCCAGCCCATGCTGCGACAACGCTAGCTTCCCCCTGGTGTGCTTCCGTTGTGCTGTTTTGATTCTTCTCGTCATGCGCTGTATCGTTCACTGCATCTCGGCTCCGGCTCCGTCATCATTCTCGTCGTCATGCTGCCTCTCGCAGGAGTCCCCCAATCACCGAACTTCGCGCTTCGCGCCGCTTGGTCAGAGCGCATGTTGCACCACGGCCAACCCGTATCCTAAGGGTATACGGTAAGGATGCAAGGGCCGTGTAGGGCCATGTGAACGTTTTTCGAACGAGGTTGGCCAGCGAAAGACGCTGAGGACGAGCTGAAGGGGCAAGGATGTGAGGGGTACACTTGGGGCGGGTGCCCATCCGTATTCTCGACAACGCAATCGACCAGCCCCGCCCCGCCCCCCCTACCCCCCCCTCTGGTCACGATGCAATCCGCGCCAACGCCGCCTGGGAATTCAGTCAGCCCCGGGCATTCCCGGACGGCGCCCTCCCCCCTGCACCCCCCCCCCTCCTCCCTTTCCCCTCGTCGCGCCCGGGATCGCCAGGGAAGAGACCTGCCAGCCCCTCGGGCGCCAACTCCCCGTGCACTGTTCGGTTTCGTGCGTCCTTTCTGGCCAGATGGTACAGGATGCTCCTCGATGGTCCCCGCCGAGAAAAGCGTGCACACGTCCGAGCGACGCACAAAATGAAGACGGTCTCGCATCTCTCCACGCCCTCGTGGCCCGGGGCGCCTCGCGCCGCCCACCAGAGCACATCGGCCTGGCGAGCGCACAACGGCCCGCTCTTCGCTGCCCTGCGGGTGGCCCGGCATCCTCTCGCCGTCGCTCGGACGTCCTTTCCCCCGTGCATGGTCTGGCTTCGAGCGAACCTGTTTTGCCGGATGGTCCACAGGATGCTCCGCGATGGTCCTCGCCGAAGAAGAAATTCACACGCCCGAGCGGTGCCAAGACCCTGTGCGGCTCCCATGAAGGTGTGTCCATCTCCGTCCTCCCTCGCGGCGGAGGTCTGGGGTTCCTGTCCGGAGGCGCCGCTGCGCCAAGGTGTTGAGGAGGAGAGTCCGGCAGGCCTCGGGCGGCAACTGTCGGGAGCGGCCAAGAGGGGGTGTCCAAGCGGGGGGGTGCAAATCATGACCGGCGGCATGTGCGCGGCCCAGCGGGGGGGCCAGGGACGCAATGAAATAAGAAGAGGCGCCATGAAATCTGGGGAGATATCATGGCCCCCGCCATGAGATCCCCCCCCTCCTAGTCATCACCCCCTTCTTTGCCGCCCCGGAAACTGGAATTAGACTTTCCGTCGGATTAACTTCGGATCCAAGTCGGATTCACGCCGGACCCGCGGCGGGACATCGCCGCGCGGACGCCGCCCCAAATCTGAACGGAGCGGAGGCGTGGGCTAAGTGATGCACCTCTGGAGCGCCGCGCGAGGCTTCCGGGATGTCCTCGTAGCAGAAGCACGCCATGAAGTTGAGGCAACTGGTAAGAATCTGAGTCGCAAGCCGATGCCGGTGGGCTCCTGGGCTCCAAGCTTCCCCGCTCTGCGTCTCAGTTGAAGGAGGCGGCCAAAGTTGCGGGCTGATTTCGGCGGGCGGCTGGGTTCCTGGATTCCCAGGTTCCGGATTTCGGGCACTGGTTGATGGAGTTGGCGACAGCTGGATGATGGGGAGGAGGAGGGGCATGACCAGGAGGAGGAGGAGGAGAAAAGGAGGAGGAGGAGGAGGCAACGTGGGGGCATGGAGGAAGGCGACGACGAGAACGGGGGTACTCAGAAGGACGATGGGAAGGCACGTCTTGGATGCAAAGGAAGGGAGATGGGAATGGGGTAGGCTTGCACATGATCAGGGCCCTGCAGGTATGGTCTTTGGCCATCGTGGCGGTCTCTGAAGCCCATCGGCACCAATGGGAGGTGCGGCTGCCTGAGTCGTGCGCTGCCTCTGCTCCGTTTCTTCCAGCCTTTGGGTCACGGCTTTCTTGAGAGCCACCTATGCCGCCCGGGTTTTTCGAATCGGGAGCGCCCCTCGCCATCTCCGAGATGCCTCCTGGGCCCTTCTTGAGCCGTCTCAGGGCGTCTTTGCGGGAGCCGAGCAGCCCTCACGGAACGAGCAAGTCATGGCACTGTCAATAAGCGACCGCACTCTTGCTGGAGCGGATATGAGTTTCTCGTGGAGCCCTTCGCGACCCCGCGCGATGCTGCTCCGCAGTGGCGGCCCAAGGCGACGCGGCACTGCCCGCGCGTTCTCCCCCGCCTGCTTGGGCAGGCCGCGCCGCTGTCTGCAGCGCAGGCGGGCTGCAGGTGGCGTGCAACGCCGAGAGTCCGGCTACACGCAAGAGTGACCTTGCGTAAGAGTCACCTTTGGTGCGCGGCTTTTAAGGGGGCCGCGGGGGGACCAAGCTCAGGCGCGCAAGACGCCACTATCGCATCGCAATCGGTGACCGGGGGACCCCGTTGTGCCCGCACCAAAGGTCACTCCGGCGAAAAGCCGCTCTTACGCGTAGTCGAGGAGTGGCCGGTGACAGCGTCTTTTTCTGGGCACGCCAAGAGATGCCCTCGCCAACTCATGGGCTGGAGGAACAGGCAACAACAAGAGGAGGATGAGCAACGCTGTCAACGGCGACAGAGTAACACAACCGAGAACCGACGGAAGCGACAGCGAAACCGAAGGGAATGTACTATTCGAAGACAACGTTTGAAAATTCTCAGTCGTGCCGAGACACCGTTCGTGAACCAATGTGACTGTTGCGTTCTAACAGTTCTACAGCGTGCCAGAACACAATTCCTGGGAATTCAACACAGCGAACAATTCCTGGGAACTCAACACGGCGAACCAGCTAGATTGTTGCGTCTTGACAGTCCAAAACGCCATTTCTGGGACTTCGACACACGAGATCTCAAACATGTCGCAGACTTGTAGGACGAATGCGCGCGGCGCTAAAGCGAGAACCACATGTTGAACAGACATCGCCCTCCATCCGCGAAGCTGCTGCTAACCTTTTAAGACGAAAGTGCGCGGCGCTGGAGCGAGAACCCGATTTTGAAAACGGCACACATGAAGGAGCCCCGGGACACACAAATAAATACACACAATTAAAAAGGTGTCCCCATATTTTCCCATATTTTCTGTGTTTTTGTCTTCCCCCCCACTTCCTATATTTTCCAATATTTTCTGGGGAATCGACGATTAATTGTGTCTGTGTGTTTTTTCCCCTCCTGAATACAATCCATGCGTGAATTTCCTGCAGACTTTAAAAACGAGTGTGCGCGGCACCACGGAGAGAAAAACATGTTGAACACGGCCCGCCTTCCATCCGTCAAGCTGCTGCAACATCTCAAGCTTCAGCGCCGGAGATGGTGAAGAAGTTTCATCCGAAGCGCCTGGCCCGCCCTACCAACACGTCTGGGGGTGCAAGAAGGAGTTATAGATTTGGGAAAGGGATGGAGGAAACGGAGGAAGAGGAGGAGTCCATGGAGTGCAGCGAAGGGCCTCTCCCCTCGGGCGGGGCCGTCCAGGAGGATGCTGGCAAGGAAACGGTCAGCGGCGAGGACGACGTCCAGAGCGAGGGCGTGGGCGCGGCGAGGACGAGGACGACGGTCAGCGGCGAGGGCGAGGGCGAGGGCGCCCGAGATGACGACGACGGCCAGCGGGCGAGGACGAGGGCGAGGGCGAGGACGAGGGCAAGAACGAGGACGAAGACGAGGGCGAAGATGACGACGACGACGACGACGAGGACGACGAGGAAGACGGCGACGACGCGGACGCCGCGCGCCCGCCGCGGCGTCGAGGCGGCGGGGGGCTGTCCTTCGGCACGGCGTGGTCCTGCCGGTGCGGCCCCGAGACGCGGCGGCGGCCACGACTGCGAACGCGCGAGCGGCCCCTGCCCCCAAGCGACCGGCAGCCAGGGGATGTGTCTTCCAAGGCCGCGCTGACGGCGATGTTGGGAATCAGCAAATCGGTCCCCAAACCCCTCCCGGGCTCCGAACGCACCAATTTTCCGAGCTGCGTCCAGCCGTGGCGACGACCAAGGCCGCACTGACGGCGTGCTTGGTGAACGGCGATGTTGGGAACCGTTTTTTTTGTGACACCGAGCTCGCGCAGAACAAAGTGTAGGAAGACACGAGTCACAGTTTCCCAACCTTTCAAATATGCGGATGCATCGAGCGAGAACGACACAGCGAGTTGCAGGAACACTCAAACAACGCGTTCCTACAATTGTTTTGGCCACGGACCACGCCTTCCTACAACTGGTTCTCCTACATCGCCGTTAGCTCGCACACCGTTAGCGCGTCTACGGGTCTTTTGTGCCTGCACGGTACAAAGCAACCCCCTTACAGTGGAGGCCAGTTCACAGGAAACCTTCCACAAGAAACCCAACCCTGAGACCCCGGGACGTCCGTTGCTCTTCGGCGCGGGAACGTCGCGCTCGCCACAGCAAAACCATCGAAACCCAAGAAACCCAGGGCACCCTGGAGGCAAGCGGGGCGCTTCTTGGCATGGGCCTCCACTGCACCCCACAGGTGGTGGGCGAGTCCACCGAGGGGCCCGGCAAACAGCGACAGAGCGGCTCACCCGCTGGCTGGCCGACGGCCGGCGCACGAACGACCGGCAGCCAGGGAGTCGGCCTGTCTGCGAGACTCTTGGGGTTTCACTTGGGCTGTCTTCCTCATCTCACTCCCACCGCCGCCCCCCCCCCCCCCTAAAACAGTGCTAGGATCGGGATAAATCGCTCCAGAGCGTTCCGGAGCGCTCTCAGAGCGTTCGGAACGCTCTGGAGCGGCCGCGGCGCCCAATAGATCCTCCAAACCCGCCGATTCCAGAGATTTCGAGTTATCCCGATCCGATTTTGTCCCGATCTTCGTGCCGTTTTACCCCCCCCCCCCCGAAACAATGCTTGCTAGGAGTGTTGGGCGCCGTCGGTCTCGCTCGGAGCGGCCCCCCGCCTCCCCCAAAGAGCCTCGGGGACAGAGCCGCAGCCGCAGCAGCTTTCGTCGGAGCCCCGCGCCGCTC